CATTGAATCAAAATGAGATTTCTTTACAGCTACATTGTTCTTTGTGTGACGTCCTCACTCACCATCAGGGAAGGAGAAAGGTTCATATTTCACTTTCTCAGCCTCCGGCTTCTTCACCAACTAATGAAGACGAAAAATCAAAGAAAACATGACACTGCAGAGCTGGTATTTAAATAAATGATATACTTAAATAAAGTGGGGTCTTTCTGCCAATAATTGAAGAATAAAAGTTTTTAAAAAAATAAGCGGCCTGACCTTTTTCTGCTGTTTCTCTAGATTCTTGTCCTCGACCTCCTTGAACTTTGACCTCACGGGCAGCATTTTCTCCTGGACCTCCGCGGTGCAGAGCTCATAGACGTCCAGCATGAGTGGGAACTTGACATCCTTCAAAATAAACAAAAACCCCATGTTGGACTTTTAACGATAAATAGGTGATGACAGGGAGGGAGGACGTGGCCCGAGACAAACCTTAAGGACTTTTGCATTGACGGACTCCTTCTCTTTGTAGAAAAATCGGACCATTTGAACCGTCAAGTAGGCGGGGAGACGGCTGAGTTTTGACTGGAGAGACACAAAGAAAACATTTCAATAAACGTCAATTCATCCAAAACATTTGTAAACGTAAGAATGGAAAGAACGCTCGTTTCAGGAGAAGTCACAGGGAAACAGGAAGAAGATATAAATGACTTACGGATTTGATGTACAGGGCATTTCTTTCCAAGGATGGAGACATTTTTGTGATTTCTTCTTGCAGCCTCTGGAGAGACGAGTCAAAAAACAGATTTCGTCCTCGTTACCCTGGAGATAAAACTAACCACGGCCCAGTTTATGTTGCAATTATATATTTTGCGGTTAACAACCATTTTTTCATCCCAATTTTAGAATTAGTTACACAGTGGTATTTTATTAACAAACCACTTATATTTCTACACATTAACAACATATTTGGGGTTGTTCGGATTCATACCAGTCTTAGTCCTGTGGAAAGGTATTTGACTTCTTGGTTGATGAAGCAGCTGAGCTGCAGCTGGCTTTCCTTGCCCTTGACTGGCTCCTCCTCCTCGGACTCTGTGCATTTCATACTGAACGGGGGAGTTAAGAAAAAGCCCACCTGAGCACTGACACACACTGTAACCCAATTCTCGAGTCAAGCCACAGAAATAACGGATGGAAAGACGCGCTCAACCAAAAGCAAAAGGATACGTAGTCTCAAATTCCACGCCGAAATACTGATCAATTAAGTTCTTCTTTGAAGAGGAAGAAGCGGCTGCGCTCTCAGACTCTGTCTGCATGTTGAGACAAAAAGGGACATTTTAACCTTCAACTTATTAAGAAATTACAGAATCCTCCTTTCATCATGAAACACAAGTAAAGGAAAACCCAATCGATTCTTACCTCCATGGAAGTCTCGGGCTCTAAAGGCTCCAACTTTTGCTGAAGAACTCTCATCATCTGCAGCCAGCACTCGTTGGCATCCTGAGGGAACCCCAGAGGGAAGATATGAGAGCAAGTCCTGCTATTTACATTCAAAGTTTGAAACGGGAACGCAGGTAGGAGGTGTAGCTGTGACTAGAATTTACTAGAGTCTCACCTGCTGGAGGTACTGTCCCTGGTCCCCCTTCTCAGCAAACTGTGGAAAGGCCATGTGAAGGAACTGCAGCAAAATAATGGGCGGCAGGCTAGATGAGGTCTTCTCCATGGTCTCATACAAGTCACGTAGGGCTGCGGATTGAAACGAAAGAAAAAGAAAACGTGCATATTCACGCCGTAGGAAAGTTTAGGACGCTCATTTCAGAGGGTTCAGCGAGCCTCGTACCTGCCGTGATGTATTGGGACGGTGCATTGGCCCCCGAAGATCGCAGAGCACCTGCATACCTGCAGGGAGAGACGGGATCTCAGCAGGAGACACACAGACAGCAGCCAGGAATTGCACAAATTCAGAGAGGCGACGGGGAAATGTGCATTTTAAAATATGTTGACCAGTGACAATCAGTGCGGCAACCTCATGATTATATTCTGAGAGCCGACGGAGGCAGAAAACTCACCTTCTGAGAGCAGTTTTGAGCTCCGGCACGGAGCGCAGGCACTGCACCGTGGCATTCATGTAACAGGTGTTGCCCAGGTTTGTCAGCCCACAAGGCAGCTCCATCTGGAAATACAGAGAGGTTCCTCTAGATAAATGTATAAACGGTAAAATACATGCATTTTTTTTTAAATACATTATATACAAGCAGTTTCTTCAGAGTAGTTAACAACAAAGCTTTGAGTGTTTCCGAATAGATAATGTCACTTTCTAAAGCACATTTAATACAGTTAATTCAAACTACCGTACATACGTACTAAAAGCATTTGAGTAAAGAATCAGGATATGCATTTGCATATCAGGCACCATGTATAGCGTTCTTAACAATGAATTATTGTTGTTTCCTGTTAAACCTTCTGAGATTTTTATGACAAACTATAATATATCTATAACCGGACTCTGCTATGAATTAAATGTAGTCTTCAATTAGTGCAAGTTTAGTGTTCAGTTCTTGGTAAAAACGACACAACACAAATGCCGACCTGACAAATGTTCTTTTTAAGAAGCTGTACAGACGGCGCATTTTATTCATTAACTTCTCGGGTTAGTAAGCATCAGTTAGGAAAACATGTTCACCTGGACGTCAGTGCAGAAAACAACAATCAGCATGTGTGTGTGTGTGTGTGTGTGTGTGACACGTACTGGTCATTTTCAGGCTTACTCACCGCTGAGGCCAGCTGCTCCTCAGTCATGTCCTCTACAAACATGGGCCGGACAGCCGGCTCCTCGGGCAGGGCTTCTGCAGAGCCCATCATCAGCAGAGTCATTCCCTGCAAACAGAAATACAAACAAATTGTTGAAATACATTAGGTGTACAAGTCTGAACTAAAACACTGGTTCAAATCTTAAATACTCACATTTTTCAGTTTAATGTTCCCCCACTCATCATCCTAGAATAAGAGTGAGACAGTGGTGAGCTTCTTAACAAAAAACAGGGATACGGCTGCTGCCGTTTTCTTCATACTACGATGAGCTGCAGATTAATACACATTTGGTTCTTTGGGGTATATTTACAACAGCAGCACCAGGTCATTGTATGCAGCGTTCGTAGAAACTAAACTAGTTTGTATGTGACAGGCTTTGGCGAAAACGGGCAATACTTGATAGTGGGGACATTTGTTGTTGCTGGTCAGATCAGAAAGTGATCAGATTTGTAAACACCAAAAATTCCCGTGACAAGAAATGAACCGTGCAGGACAGCATCTTCCCCTCACATGCACCTGATGGTTTAATGGAGTACCTTCAGAGTGCCTCCCTTCACCATGACCTTCTGTCTGTCCGGCTGAACTCCCGTCAGGGCGAAGAGCTGAGCCTTGAAGACCATCGGTGGTTCCTCTGTGTTCAGCTCCACTGCGTCAAACTTCTCTTTGCCCCATTTCACATTCACTGGAAAAGGGCCAGGAGATTAGTACACACACACAAAACACGCGTCAGCCTCCCAGCGTGAGTGTTGAGGGGGGGGGGGAACACAAACATAACTTTGTTAAACTGGTGTCATGTAACGTAATGACACAGCATCGCGCTAGCACGGTTGAGTTAGCTTCACTACAAATGCCTATCGTGCGAAAGAGAAAACGGGAATACACATGCAACGATATATAAACGAGGCTTTGCAGTTTTGGTTGTCCACGGAAGCTAAGTGCCACATTAAAAAACGTGTAAATCACGTGTCCGATGAGTATTGTTGGTCTCCAAGAAGCAGCGACGTTTGAGGGCTTCCGATGTGTACACTCCTGATTCGGCTAACGCTAGTTTCGGTTAGGAGGTGCTAACCGTGCTAATCATGAATCGTACAAGGGAATTAAGATAAATACAACGCACGATTCTTGGGATTTCATACTGGTACAACCTCCTGGTACACGTAAACAGCTTAGACTGACCAGGCCGCCAACAAGGGGGCTGGACTTTCAATAAGTAACGTCGGTTAACCACCTTACTCAACTGTCACTTGGCTAACTAAGGTTAGCTAACGTTAGCTGGCACCTAGCGTCGGAAGCTGCTTTTTGGACCATGTCAGATGCCAGCTTGAGTAGCCGGCTTCACCGAACACATTATGTAAAGTCCACTAATTAACAGTGACCTAATGACGGTAACGCAATACTTGAGTGTTTTCCTCTCTCGAAGTATTGTTTTTTTCGTAAGAACTCCACCAAGTGGCCTAACCACAGTGACAGGCTGGCTACTACCGTTAGCATGCTAATTGCATATCATGCTATAGCTAACTTAGCAAGCTAAAGGCAATTTACGTTACTGCACAAAAACACGTGTAAGAGTTGAAGTGTTAACTGTCATTTTCTATGGCAATCAATGTGTCGAGTCAAAATGTCACCATACCTGTAAACACCGGCATATTTGGCAACCTTTTACGGCCTCACTCTTTGTTTTTTCCTGTTTCGATGCTCCGGAGCGCGAATGAAGAGTTGGCTAGTTGCGGGGCTGAACTTCATTCAAACAGAATGACGCTGCAACAACACGCCGAGAACTTATCGATGCGCTCGGACATCTGCTCGCCATCCTGCCGCAAGCAACGCGCGCGCACACACACACACACACACACACACGCACGCACGCACATACACACTCGGCTTGTTGTTGCTCAGACCAGAGCAATCCTACCTGTTTTTTTTTATTATTTCGCAGCCAGCAATTATTAAAACTCACGTGAGCTCGTTACCGATGCAGGTTGACGTGGATTACGCAGCACATTCCTCACATTCTCTCTGCAGTGTGAACTGTTTATCCAAGATAAACACAACATCGACTGTGTGGTCCTTTAATTCTAAATATATTGTAGAATGTGCGTTTAAACTAAATTCATTATACTTAACTTAAATAATTGTACCAAAACTGATTGAGTGATTATGTTCTTCACTCTCTGGAAGCCTGATATTTCTGTAGTGAAAACCAGTATACAGGGAATGATAAAGATATGTTTATTGACATATCAATCAGTGCGGACTGCAATGCAATTAACCATGCAAATTATCCAAGACAAGAGTAGATCATAGTTCCAGTGCTTTTTTTCAACTGAACAAAAAGTTACAAATAAAAAGATTGCGGAGGTATTCCTTAATCCTTATGTCGCTCTCATTATATACACTGTGGGGGAGCGGGGGGGGGGTTGCATTACCGGGACATCACTGTGTTAGAGAAACAACTCATTGTTAACCAGGCCAATCAATGATTGACGCTGGTGTTCTCCCTTTAGGTACACCATCGTGACATTTGTCTTATGATATGAACCGAGTTTTGGGACTTTTTGACACAATAACTTTATTGCAATGTGTCCGTAAAGAAGTAATCTAATATATATATAATTTTATATACTGAAACCAGAGAGAAGAAGTTCAGATAAAACCAGAGATGCATGGCGATTTAAAAAAATAAGCAATGGAAGAGTTACGATTTGTCTTGTTTGGGAGGGAAGAAAAAACAGATATGGCAGTAAAATCAATATCCAAACGTTAAGGCACTAGGTGGGCCAAATGCTACACCTGTTTAGTCTACAAATAATTTACAATTCAAACAGTGCAGTTTTACATTTGTTAACTTAATGTTTTCCTTTTGAACCATGTATCTATGAATCAATGTAAGGCAATACATTACAAAAAAAAAAAAAAAACAATGTACCAAATAAACAAACAAAATCTATTAAGTTTTAGGACCCCTATATGCCATTACAATGGAATATTCCTTATGGCTTGGAGCAATAAAAATAATTATAATAAAAATAATGCATAGATTTAAATGATGATCCTGCATGCTCCTCACTCAATACTCAAAACATCTAATACTTATGTCCCAATACTCTGTCCCGAACCTGACATGAAGTGACTTGCAGAAATATAAGAATAAAGGCAAAAAGGCCAGAGATATAACATAAAGGCAGCAGTCATTTTCGTTTGCCGGAAACAGAAGCTTGCTTGCATTTAGGTTCAGTGTCTGTCAGGCGGGGGGGATGGAATGACAACATGGATATTCATTTTTCACCCGAGTCACTGCAGATCTGCAATCCCTGTATGACAGTACCTTAAACTGAAGACGTACTTCGTCCCAGCAAAACCCCCGTTCACCTGCCCACTTCCATCAGAACTGCAATATAGTATGAAACACAGAACTCTCCATGACATGAGTCCCTCTCACTGTCCATCTTAAAGTCCAAGACGAGGGGGACCTCTTGTGGTAGAAATGGAGAGCTGCAGGTCCGTTGGGTTGAGTAACGGTCGTCTCTTGAACGTGGACAGCGGAGACGGGTGTGAGGCCTCTTTCCGTCCCCGGCGCCTCGTGTCTGATGTGTGTTGCAGTTTTTCCAGCGCTGGATATTTATTGATATATTCTCTCTTTTTTGAAGAATTTTCTATGTAATACAGGTTTCTCTGTTGGTTTTTTTTGAGGATGAGGAAGGAGGAAAAGTTTAGAGTCCAGAAAAAAAATCCAAACGGTTCAGATGGTTAGCTGAAACAAAAGACAAAAGAGAGGTGTCCAGTAAAAGGGAGACATATTTTCACCTGGGTTAGTAAGCCGCTGCCATCTTTGCATCAAGGTTGACAGGTTGGGTAAAAATCCTTTATACGGACTATTCTAGAGTTGCATAGTAAGTCCATGTTAGTTACTGAACCCAACAACACATTAGTGCCAATTAGAGAAAAGTGTCAACTGGAAAGAGCCCCGGAGTCAACCAACCAACCAACCCACCAGGAAGTGTCTCGCGTTACAAACACCCAGTAACAGAATAAATAGACATGGTTAAAGCCGAAAGGGGGGGGAAAAAAAGGTCCAAAAAAGATTCTGTTTTGAAACACTGTGTGAAGAAGTTCCTGTCAACAAGTGCTGGAGGTTGTGTCTGCGGCTTGGAGGCTGGACTGCGCTCTGCTACAACACAGGAGACAAACAGCAGGTCACGCGACTGACTGGACCGCAGCTCAGCCCACCAGATGGGATTTAACAAGACTTGTGGCTGCAGCACGCCCTCAATCCCTGGCCAGAACAACAGCACGCTAACTCACTGGACTTCACCCGATCAACAGCGCAGAGATCAGCCACAAATTGTCGAGTTACCTCAGCTTCGTGGTATTGCCTTTAGGGTTCTTGCGGAAGGACTGGTTTGGTCCGGAGCGCGTGGACATGGAGCGAGGCGAGGCCCGCGAGAATGTGGATGGTGGGGTCTTGGGAATCTTCTTTCCCAGGTGGCCGATCCATTTCTTCTGCTCATCCTGGGTCAGAGCCAGCAGGAGCATGTCCCGGGCAGAGGTCACATCGTAGTTTACTGCGGAGGAGGGCACGAGGTGTTAGGATAGGAAGGCAGAACTAGCCCACATTTCTGCTTTAACAGCTTGTCTTACCCGACCAACCCTTACAAAGACATTGAGTTCTCTATAAATAATGAATTGACTTGTTAGTTATGGGTGTGGCTGCATCACCTGTAATAACTCGCTGCACATACGGCTACTTAAAACCAAATAAACTAAGCTAAATGAATCGCACATGCATTACATTTATGAATATTAAAACCAAAAGTAGTTGCTGGTAGTCATTCTTAGAAGTACCCTAAAACATTTACAGCTAAAGTTAAGCTTGTCCTCCTGAAAAATAGTGCCAAACTGCAGAGGATTCTACCTTTGCAAGGAGCAATAAGGTCCTCCTTTTTGTCCAGGTGGTCTTTGTGGCACTTGACGTGGCAGCGGCGGCACTCCAGGGCCGGCGGCGGCTTGAAGACGTGCCACAGCGGCTTGGAGCAGGCCTCACAGTTTGAAGGGAAGTGGTACAGCGTGGGGATGAACTCGTGGCCTTTGTGTGGGAGACAGTTGGTCTTGTCGCCCTGAGGGACAGCCTCCATCTCCGCCTCCTTCCTGCACTCGCCCTCGTTGGCGTAAAGGATCTGATGGCAGAGGGACGGAGGAGGCCGACGTCAAAGCAATCGCAGTCAAAGGGGAAAAAAAAAGAAGAAAAAAAAGAAGCTTTTCTGTGGCTGAGCAGTGAGTCATGAATACGACCTGACATTCAGGAGAATACAAATATAAAATATGTATACAGAAATCTCCACAACAGGAAGGAGCCTCCAACCTGGAATATCCTTGGAATCTCTTCTGTCTCAGCCCGGTACACGTCTCCTTGTGTGACTGGTCTCACGTGAAACAGTTTGCTGCAAAGTGAGTGATTATATATAAATAACACTGTAACAAACAACCGCTGCAACAGGACCTTAGTGGATAACTGGGAATACGTACTCGATATCTAGTACCATCGAGGGGTTGGACAGTTCCTTATCCTCCTCATTGTTGTAGAACAGAATCTTCTTGCTGCTCACCACCACATACTGTAAAAATAGGGGGAAAAAAAGGACAAATTGGCTTGAGACACTCCCAACAAACATGAACACAGACTCAGGTGTGCAGAGGAGACGGCAAATTAAACCTAAAATCCAACCTGCTTCCTCCATCCGTATCGCTTGATATTTGCTCGGTTGGGAATCGACAGCCAGCCCTCCAGTCTGGATTCTGAAAAGCAGCCCAGATGCAACCAAAAATTACAAATCCATGCGATGGATGCAATGCACTGTGGGAAAAAGGCCATGCGGTGTTTCAAAATCCAAAACTCAACTGGGGAGGAAAAAAAAAAGTAAAAGTTAACTAACATACCAAGTGAACCCCTAAAGGAGCTCGGCCAGCGTTACGGTATTAAGGATGAGTTTAGATAACCCCCGCTGCTGCCCCACCCATGCAGGAGGAACATCTTACACATTAGCCCTTCCTACAGCATGTTAGCAGAGCACAGGGATTATTATTTCAAATCGAAGCTCATTAAAAGTAATTGGAATGATTTTTCTCTGGATAAGATTGATCAGTCTTTTATAGAAACAACCATGTGTATTGCAGGTTACAGCCACTATTTGGTGCTAAAAGGACCATTTTTAAGAGCATGCAGGTGGAAGTTCAGCAGGTACGGGGAGCTGAGAGGGGCTCGTCGCCGACACGCGGTGAGCGAGATCTGTGTGCGTCCGACCGAGCAGTGCATGGAGGTGAACATGCCGCCAACAAAACCAACAAGGACAGTGTTAAGTGTACAAAACGCAGGCTCTTCAGTTGACAACACACGTTTTGAAAGCGGCTGAGCGCGAGGCGGTGAACCTCCCGCCGGGCGGAGTAACCTGATGTGGTCGCTGCACCGTTTTGGGCTGAACGGTGAGCAGTGTTCACTGCTTCTTCGCTGAACATCACATCAAAGTTTGCCTTGTGCAATTGTTTTTTTGGGGTTGGATGGTTTGGACACGTATGTGTATATATGCTCTTTTAATCTCCACCCCATCAGGCGTCTTTCAAAAGTCTTGTTGGATTCCCCCAAAAGCAGAGGGGTGTCTCACTTCTGGTGAAAAAATACTTTAACTTAAGAAACACTAGGGGCAAAAAAGCCACAAACACAACATCTGCAGCACAGGGCAGGCAAGAGGGGCTCGCCCACAGTTACTCACAGAGGGAAAGGAATACACGCGACAAAGATAAGGAGAGAACCGACTGGACATGAGGGAAATAAAGAGAGAAGGGTTTAACCACATATGTGGTTATGTGAAAACAAGATATAGGTTAGACATCATGAATTATGAAGACATGTTGATCGCACCAATAAACACCTGGCATTAAGTATACAAACAAGACCCTGAACACTAAATCAACACTTTAACCAGCATTGAAGCCAAGATGAAACACGCCACACGGGAAACGGACCAATTAGGAGGACGTTTTCACTCAGTCATAACAGTTAAACTTAAATGTGTTGGACTTTTAGAGTTTCCTGTGAGGCAGTTCTTTACATCTAACCATGTAACCAAACCCTGTTGGAAGGATTGGCTGCAATACGTGACGATTCTTTTCTGTGTGCTACCCGGACTATTTAGAAGTTACTCTCTTCCTCCGCGCGCCGTCGTCCCTACCTGCGATGTTGCCGTCGGTCTCGTCGGTCTGCAGGCTGGTGACGCTCGAGGTGTCCATGCGCAGCTGCAGGTCGTTCAGTTTCTCCCGTAGCTGCTCGATGTCGCTCTCCTTGCTGTCCAGCTGCATTTGCAGCTCGTTGCGATACGTGGATTCCTCCGACAGTTGCTGGCGGTGGAGAAGCCGAGAGACGCGGGTTAAAAACCGGAGGGGACTTTGGGGAGTTCGCCCGGCGCTCGTGTTCTGGAGCGTCTCTTTACTCACCGCCTGCATCTCGCTCAGCTCTTTCTGGTACTTGATGGCCATGTGGTTGAACTTCTCTTTCTCCTGATTGAGTTCCAGCTGGAGCTTGCGGTTCTCCTTCTCCTTCTTCCGCAGGTCGGCGGTACTGCCCTTCTTCTTCTGGTCCAGCTTCATGTCCTTTCGGTTCATAATCTCTGCCAGCTTGTTCACCGCCTGATGTGTCAAAAGCAGGGAAAAGGTTGGAAAACGTCCGTCGCCGTTCGCCGCAAGCGCTTTCTCAAATACCTGCCGGCTAAAGCGGTGCATCTTTACCTGAGTCTTCAGTGTGCGCTCCGTGTTGAGGATCTTCTCATAGTTGGACTTGATTGTGTTGGAAATCTCTTCCTTCTCAGCAGCATAGTCTGTTTAGAAAGAGAGACTCAGCTTGTGCAACAACGTAATCATAATGCAGCATTAAAAGACGCATTCAGCTCAACAAAGGGGACGGTACCTTCCTCCAGACTACTGAACTTCTCGCTTAAGTCAGTCTTCTCTTTGCTGAGGTTCTCCACAGCTTTGGTCAGAGTGTTATTGGATTCCTCAAGCTGCCGAAGAAAGCATAATATAATTCTTTTTCCACCCAAATGCATTCTAAATGTACAACAAAGAATACATTATGGAGGGACACAATAATACGGAGTCAGCTTGGCATACCCGAGCAATAGTGGCCTCCTTTTCCCCGATGTCCTGCTTATGTCTACTGATTGCCTTTTTGTTCTCCTGGCTGAGCTCAAAGTACTGCTCCTCCTGCAGGGCTCGGGCCAGCTGCTCTGACTCGGCCTTGGTCACCGTCAGATCCAGCTGGGCGGACAGGGAGTCCCTTTGTAAAAGAAGGAACAAATACATGTTTGTTCAGCCGCTTGTTATCACAGGATCACAATAAAACTCATGAAGCCATTAGCTGATGTTCAGGTGGTTAGATCAGTAAAAGGGATGGCCTGCAGACCTCAGTATAAATGAGTCGCTTACCTTTCACTGCACAACTCCTGCACCCTTTTATGAGTCTCTTGTACCTGCCGGTTCTTTTCCTCAATCTCCTCTTTAAGTTCCTTGACCTGAGTTTTGTAAAGCGTCTGGAGGAGGGCAGAGGTGGTTTAGCCAGTGGCTTTCACATTTAATAGGGAGACATTGGAGAAAGGAGACATACTTACAGAAAAATACTGTTCGGCCTCAAGCTGGTCCTGAAGTTCCCTCATTTGTCCCTCGTTGCCTCTGTATTGCCTTTTAACACATCAGCAAAACACATTTTACACAACAAGAAGCTTTTCAGCACTTTCCACACACTAGTAGTAAAAAGCCAACCCGTTCCAACACTAGCAGCACTAGCCAGGGGATTAGCAATGGAGTGGATAAACTCTAATCCGCTGATGTAAACACGGCAGCAGAACAGCTTTGACATGGTCACCCCCTTTAATCTGGAATAATAGCACTATTTTGAAAATAAACAGGCAATCGACTTCCAAAGAGCATTACTGGCTGACGCAGCAGAAACAGAAAATCAGAGCTCTTGGCTGCAGCCGCTGCAAAATCCTGCCAGAATAATAGTATCCAGCACGACGGCGAAAGCAACCAAGTTCTGCTCCTTTTCTAGCAGATGGCATTATTTCATTCATAACAACAGCAAATGCGACATGACGAGCGACTCACTTGGTCAACTGCGCCAGCTGGAACTCCAGAGAGCGCTTGCTCTCCAGCGACGCGTTGATCTCCTGCTTGAGCTGCTTCTCTGAACACCTGAGTCGGTCCACCTCCTGCATGCGGCCCTTCAGGTCGTTCTGAGTCTGGACGCGCTTGCTCGACTCCTGCTCTCCCTGAAGCTGCAGATTCATCACCTGGGACAGCAGCAGAGAGGCGGGACATCGCGTGACACAAGGCCGTGGGAAAAGGGCATCTTTATTTGATATTTTTCATTATAAAGAAAAGCTGGAAGGAGGCGTTTACTTACCTCATCTTCCAGCCGCTCTTTTTGCTTCATCAGCTGCTCCATCTTCTGCACAGACTGCTTGAGATCAAACTCTAACATCGAGCACTGCTTCTCGACCTCCACGACCCGGCTCTCCGCTCGCATCCTCGCAACGTTCTCCTCGGACATCTTCTGCTGAACAGCTGTAGGAGGACGGGGAGAGAAAAATTGTCACGTCCTTGTTTTCCCAAAACCGAGAGAACCCAAGAGTCAACTCGATCGAACAACAAACGCCGCTATAAAAAGTTTCATTTTTTTATACTAAAAGAATACTCATAGCTCTAACTATTCCAGAGGGAAGCTTTTCAGTACATTTCTCTCCAGTACCAGTAGCTGGAAACACAATGGGTTTGTGTGTGGGGTGATACAATCCAGATGAAACTCACAATTCTATATGAGAATCAGCAACATTGACAACAATGAGCCTCAACTATTTCGCTGTAGAACAAGAAAGAAGGAAGAAAATATCTTTTCCCAGCGTGTTCAAGGTAGAAGGCAGGAAATCACTCAGACGGATCATATCTCCATTGAAAAAGCTCATTTAGAGTGATGCATTAATATCCAGCGGGGCGCTGTCCTGACATGCTGCCCGCTTACACTCCTTGAATTCCTCCCACAAAAACATCCCCCGCGGGGGAATCTGATCAGACGACAGACAAGAAAGATGAAACCGGGGGAGGAACATGTGGTCAGAAAGTAGCTCATCAAAAAGTAAAAAGGCAGAAGAGGCATAAAGAACAAAGTAGGAATCGAGAAGCAAGGCAGCTACTCCGACACACAGGCTCCGACACAGGAGCTGCATACCATTCGTGGCGGCCGATTTGGCTTCTTCGATCGACTCGTATTTGTCGGTGAGCTGCGCCCGCGTCACCCGGTGCTCGGTCTGCTCCTGCTCCAGACGCTGCTGCAGCGTCTTCAGTTTGTAGTTCAGGTCTATCTCCAGGTTGTTCTTCTCCTGTTGGGAGGGGGGGGGACGACATGAGGGCGAACTGTCTCATCGTCCGGGTCAACAGGGTGGGAGAAACTAACTAAGTACTTCTCGCGTCGTACCTTCTCTTGGTTGTTGCTCCTCTCCTGAGCCTGTTTGCGCTCCGACTCCACCTTGGAGAGGCTGAGCTTCAAGCTTTTGTTGTCCTCTTGCAAGCCCGCCATCCTGGCTGAGAGCGGACGATAAAGACACACTTTTACAGTGCTGATGAAGAGTGGCTGGCCTTTTCATTTTAAACCCTTTCTTTATTGTCAATAAAGACAAGCACCTAATATGATTGACGTTTGATATATATTTAAATTCTGCCCTTTAAACTTTCTATTCATTACTGAAATCATGGTTTTTGTATTCTGTCGAGATATACATCAGACAAAATGTATGTGTGGTGACGGATTGGAGCGCCGCTTTTGTGTTGGTGTGTCAGTAGATCACCTTGTAGCTCCCTGATCTCCTCGGAGCCGAGGCTGTAGTTCCTCCTCTCAGAGTCCAGGGAACTCTGCAGAAGCAGGAGCTCCTTCTCCAGCTGGGCCTTCTCGCTGTCCGCCGCCCGGCTTCTCTCCTGCAGCTCGCGGTTCAAGCTCTCCAGCTGGCTCATGGACTTGGCCATCTCGGTGTGGCTCTTCCTCAGCCTCGCTGCCGTGTCCGACTCGGCTCGCAGAAGGTCGTTGGCCTCTTCCATCTGTCAATCAAAATAGAGGACCAGGGAGGGAAAAGTTCAAGGTTTTGTTCAAGGTTCAAGGCTTCACTATTCCTCACAGTGTGTGTGTGTAAGTGTGCTGTATACCTGATTCTGCAGTTGGACCATCTTGTCATTTGAGGCCTGAGAGTTCTGGCTGATCTTCTTCATGTCTTCAAGTTGCTCCTTTAAACTCGACACTAGAAAATAAAAATAAATCACATCTAATGCTGCATTCCTGTGTTGTTGAAATAATCGGATTCATTCTTTTTCTTACACCTTTTGGTCATTTCATGTTGAGTTTATGTGAAGAAACATTAACATTTTAGTAAACAAAAGTTAATTCTTGGCTTACATGTCATTTGTATTATGATATTAGGTTGTGAGCATTCCGCACTTTACAACTACACTTGAACTGCACAGTGTCTGAATCCCCATCGTCTTTACCCTCATTCTCCAGGTTGCGCCTCTTCTCTGCATCCTGGTCAGCTTTTCTTTGGTACTCTGTGAATCTGTGCTGAAGCATGATCTTGTCCTTCTCCAGCAGAGAGATGCTGCTCTCCGCACTTTTCCTCAGGTTCGCCTGCAGCGAGAAACAAAAGAGCAGAAAAGTAAACCCCTGAACAGTGATGCATTCAACCCTCATTGCTTGATGCAATTGGCATTATGTAAACACAAGCTATGGACGCAAAGTGGACGCATAGCAAATATCACAAAAATAGTAATAATAATAATATTTGTAATTATTTGTCTATAAGAATGTTGAGAGAAAAGAGAAAATAGGCAAACCTCTTCATCCAGTTCCTTTATGATCTTGTCCATCTTGGTGTTTGATGTCCTGTGGGGGAACAGAGTATTTAAGTAAAAAGCGAATTTAAAAAGTCTGGTCTAGTCCATAAACAAACATTTGCAAATATGTCTGAAACAATAACAATCATATTTAGAAGTAAATACGTAAGTCTTCTCACTCAATCTCCCTCCCTGATGCTACGGTTTGTTTAGCGACCCGTCTATGAGACCAAAGGATTTGCATTCGGTCTGCGCTTTGACGTAAGCAGCTTCCTCTTTGTGATGAACCACATTCCTGTTTCAATACCTGCATTTCTGCTCCAACTCATCCTTCAGCTGCATCTCACTGTGGAGCTGCTCCTCCAGCTGGTAAATCCTTTTCTGCAGGTTCTCCAGCTAAAAACGACATCAAACCGTCTTAGAGCTTCTTAGTTACGGACAGATATTGCAGATGCTTGCATGAAGTTGAAATCCAAAAGAATTGACAGATCTTAAAAAAGTACAAAAAAGTATTTGAGTCTTCAACTTACATGACTCTTGTCTTCCTTTGTGGCACTGCTACGCTTCTCGCTGGTCTTTGTGGGGGCGCTGGAGCTGCGCAACTGGCTGGAAACACAACACATTTCATTACTGAAATAGAATCACAGCAGTTAGATCCAAACCTCGCTTGAAAACTAAAAACTACCATCGCTTCTTCAAAGAACAAATGTGCAAATAGAGCAACGTCCTTAACTACAGGAGCATTTACAGGCAACCAGGAAAGTTCATATATCGGACATTGGCTCCATCAAGTTATTCAAACAATGTTCACTATGACCAATTCATTTCTGACATGAAAAGAAGGTTTACGGCTTTTGAGGTCACCGGTCATCTTAAAGGGTCCATTGAGTGATTGATGGGTGATGAAAGGGGGCGTGTGCCTGGTTGGGTCGAAAAAAACCCTGGTATGGGGGAGACTCTGGGTTTTTAGGATAATAAAATTGAATATTGTACTGAATAAAAAAATTCAGTTGATTTATTAAATAGCTATTCACAAAAGGATTGTTGATTGAATGCTAATTTTAAAAATAATCTCACGTACCCCCATTTGAGAACCACTGCATTAGATTTAACACACTTGTGTGTGTGTGAATAAACAGCATCAAGTAGGTTTTTCAGATGCACTCTACTGTGATGAACGTCACTAACTGAGAACCTTCTTGCCGGTTGGAGTCAAAAAGGTAACAAACCATGGTAACCCATCCAAACATGATGTGAAAATCATGACATCTGAACTAATTACATAAACATATTTTGCCTGGCCAAGTAGAATACTGAGCCTCATTTAACTGGAGCCCCGTTGACGGGACGGAGCCTCTCATCATCTATGGAGCAGATCCAACCTTCACTGGCTTTGCAAGCAAAAATTGACTTTACTGCCTCACGGTACGGAAAAATCGTAATGTTTTTAGTCATAGTGGCCTTCTCCTTATAGACTCACAGGAGTATAGCGACTGCATATCTAAATCATGTCATCATCCACTGTACCAGTTCCATACCTCTTCCATCAAGTGGGCAATTTAGCGTGACAGGGAATGGCGGCAACATGCGCGTCGGACTTACTGCTGACTGCTGTAGTAAGTGAAGCCGACGAAGGGGAGCTGGTTGCCCACAAAGGCCTTTGGTATGGGGAAGGTCTCCTCCTCTCCCCGATCCTCCTCGATGTCATCAAAGTTACTGGTGTCGACGTCGCTGCTCAGTTCAGGCACCACAGGGGCGGCCGCTAAACGGGGCACGAAGAGACGGGAGATCAGTGGAGAGACAGCCGGGAGCACCGGTTCATTCATTCCATGTGATCGGTCGCTGCGCGTTAACGCATGACGCAGCCAACACATAAAACACAGGAAGAGACCCCTGAAATGATTGACTAGTCATCCGGGTTAAATTTATTGTTAAACATATTTGTTGATTTGATTTGATTTTTAATTTGCCCTGTTTTAATCTGGCATAAGTGAATTTTTAAATGGATTAATTTGTGGAAAGATAAGACACAGAAACACCTGCTCAGCTTTTTTCTGGATCACAGATCCCCCTGAAACTTTTTTTTTTTTCAAACCAGGGAAACCAGCCAGTTATCAGAGCTGTTGAGCCAATGGAACGACATCGCCGGCCAAAACTAAAGTGCTGAGTCTAGTAAAGCATGAAATATAAAGCCACTGACTATAGCTCCTGGATGTATCCCTACATTTCTAATCTCACTCTGCTCCAGTGTCGATCCCGGCGCATTAACGCTTGTCCCCGCTGTGGGGCCTCAAAAAAGGCTGTGCTGCCAATTACTCCTCTGAGCAGGAATCACGTTTGGTCTTGGAAAGGATACTGAATGAATGGCTTGTCCACAAGTATTTCCTGCAAATGTCCGCAGCAGGTCAAACGGAAAACCTGATCGCTGGTACGCAACTGAAGGGAGCAGTGCGCAGAGCGCCAGATGAGACGGGGGGGGGGGTTGGAACTTAATCCGTGGTCACAGTGAAAATGTCCTTACTGTCTCGGATGTTCTCCCATGTCCACTGGTCGTTCTTGAAGAAAGGATGCCTCTTGATCTCATCGAAACCATTGCGGCCCAGTCGAACTTCCCTGTGGGGCGGGGAGGGGGGAAACAGCAGGAGGAGTTCTTAAATATTTCTGAGTAAAGAGGCACGTCTACGTCATTATGAACACGTCAATCAAGATTCTTTCCGCTGAGGGTTTTCTGAGCCAGGAGGCCGTCAAAGCCCTGACAGGGAGGGGGCCCGATAATAAGAACACACTTCAAGTGGTGCTTCCGGTGGTGCTATCTGACCTGTCAGTGAGGAAAGCACAGATGAGATTCTTGGCATCGTTGGAGATGTCGCTGTCGTCGGGGAAGTTCAGGGCATTCTTGTGGTTCATGATTTTGCTGTAGGTCCCCACCAGGGAGTCTGCGTAGAAGGGAGTGTCGCCTGTGCACAACGCAGGAGGTCACGGTTATGTCCACAGTAAGCGCTAATGCGTGAAACACACTAAATGTGGACGTCATAATGGTGGGAAAGGCAGAAATGATTCAGGGCTTTTGTTGTTTTTGAGCTTCAACTTCATCAGTCTATCATTAAGATTGATGAGGGATATAATAACGGGAACACTCACAGGAGATAATCAGAAAAAAAACTCACCAACTAGCATTTCGTACAGGAACACTCCCACTGACCACCAGTCACACTCTCTGCCGTAATAGCCATCTCCTCCTTGGGATTTCAGTACCTCGGGCGAAATGTAGTCTGGAGTTCCCACTGCTGTGTCACATCGTACCATTCCATCCTGAGGAGGCACATTTTTTTTTTTTTAATCGTTAAAAGTTCATATGTTTTTCGTCTGTCAGTTGTTTTTCATGAAAATAAAGGAATTATCAGTACAACCAAATGCTGACATGTTTTCACTGGATACATCAACAATAACTCTGGTGCTAGAACTTAAATGTGAAACCTTGTTCATTTTCATGCAGGTCCCAAAGTCTGCCAGTTTTAAATGGCCTGCTTTGTCCAGCAGCATGTTATCGGGCTTCACGTCCCTGAGAAGGCAACGACAGAGACATCAAACACACGTACAACACGACTGAACAACAAGACTCGAGCACACACTGAGAATCACTTTGCCTGCGTTTATGTGCAGGGTTTAGATCACATCTGCTTGAAGATGCCAAATGAAGCCCCCTTAGATCAAAGGTCGCTACCGCACCTTGTAAATACTGCTGCAAATCTCCAGTGAGCCATAAAAGATAAATAGTTCTACACAGTCATGTCGGAAGACGTATTCCAAGCAAATTCTAAATGGACACGCAAAACATAACAGTGTCAGAATCATCCCTCGACGTGTTCGACACGTCGCTCAATCGGAAGACCCGCCGAACAGGAAGGTGGAGAAGGGAGCCGTCTACCTGTGAATGAAGCCCATGGAGTGGATTCCGTCCAAAGCCAGAACCACCTCAGCGGTGTAAAAACGGGCCCACTTCTCAGGGACGTCGTAGTTGCTCATCAGGTTCACCAAGTCGCCACCCGGCATGTATTCCATCACCATGTAGAGGTAGCGGTCATCTTGGAATGCAAAAAAGAGCTGCGGAATAGAAACGAGAAGTGATTCGTTTTAAAATAATGAATGAAAGAAATACAGAGGACCGAAATCTCTTTTTGGACTCCGCAAGGTTTACGGCGCTGCGGCGGATATATATAGAAAAATAGCACACTAGGTTGAATAGGGCCACATCTCACCTGCACCACCCATGAGCTGTTGGCAAAAGCCATGATGTCCCTCTCCTCCCAAAAGAAAGCAGAGTCCGACCTCTTGATCATCTCAAACTTGCTGAGCAGCTTCATGGCGTACACCTTGCACGTGGCTTTGTGTCTTACCTACAAAAGAAAAGTGTTGACAATCCAGTCAGCTCAAGGATTTCTAACAACAATTTTTTGTTTCCGAATATAACATTATAAAAGGACGAATAGAAACAAGAAAAACAACTAATTCCTATAAAAATATATATATATAATCCAACAGTTTATGCATCGCTTTGTTTATTAGAAAAAATATATAAATAGAATTCTTACCAGTTGCACCTCTCCAAATGCTCCCCTCCCGATAACTTTAACCACCTCATAGTCAACCGCTTTCATGCGTAGATCACGAATCTTACTAATGGTGTCCTTGTCTGGAAAAAAGAAGATCAATGTTGGTAGAAAATAGAAGGAATGGAAGCTGAAGTTGTTCCTCTTTAGGAGTCCCATCCTGTGAGTAACTACAGAATACGGTATTAGGGTTTTAAGTGACATAAGACGTATACCACAGGAGATATTCACTTCAGGACATGGTGTAAATGTTAAATACTGTTTACATTAGACAGACTGACTCGTTCCACCAACACCCGGCCTGTTGGCAAACACATGAGAAAACGCTGACGGGGCCTCTGCACAGCCGAGAGCTGCTGCTCGGGGAGCCTTGGCTGTCGGCCTCTCCCTGATGAAACAATGCAAGCTCCCTCGGGTGTGTGTGTGTGTGGTGGGGGGGGGACTGTATTCACTGTTCGGCCAGATTTGGTCATAGTTGAACTGAGCGAGTCATTTCCACTGTGAGCAGAGGGTTCTGGGACCCTGAATCTTCGCCCGGGAACCACAAAGACATAAACCATGTTTGGATAGGGTACTGCTGTGTGTATTTGCATGCGTTTGGGGGTGGAGCAGGATTATTTCCAGTAGGGCCCTGCATGCATACAATAGAGTAATCAGCTGATGTGATCAAGTGGCGAGCACAATGCATGGAGGAGAGAGAGCCCTTCAGGCATTGCATGCTGCTCAGGGCCATTGTCTCACAAGACAGCCGGTCCATTAGTCCACATCCGTCACGGGGCCACTATATGCAAAAGGTACTGTACCATGAGTAATTGAGGCCTAATGGCAATTTTAGCTCAGGGGTTTAACAGCAGGTCGAGTTGATCACCAAATATAAGATGAACCTCTCAGCCAGGTTTACTGGAGGCAGAATCTTTCACACATGGAATGTCCCCCCCCCTCACTGCCTGATCAGTACGACACACAAATCCCCATTTCAAAATGTCCTTGTGAAACTTTATGTAGAATACAATAAATATTGAGAAGGCTCCTAATAATGTCATAAAGGTGGTGGGGGGAGTTACGGAGTTACGACACGCGAGCGGGACAAGAAGAGCTTCTGGGATAAACACTATTATCATGTTGACGTTTCCAAACTTGATCTGTCAAGGAAAGCCTCACTATCGGCCTCTGATCGGTATTCTGGTTACAGCAGTTCCTCAGTCTGAGGGCACTGGGAAAAAGAGAAAACCATCACGATGGGCATCATGTGGGTCACCAGCCATTTATGAAAGCCCCTTTGTTGGGGACACTAAGCGGCAGACATGTATTGTGTCCGAGCCTACATAGAGACGGTGACCCAAAAACAGCCTTCTTCTCTGGACTGTATGCGTATCCAACACAAATGGTTCAAGTGAAAGACACGGAGATCGATGATGAAAGGAGGACATGGGGGGAGGGAGGAGGGGGGCGTGATATGAGCTACTTACATCTACTCAAAAAGTTGTCAATGCTCTTGTTTTTCCTCAGGGCGGGGAAGTCGAGGTCGTACACCAGCGCGTCCAGACCATCCTGCAGGCAGAGGAGAAGGGTTAACATGCAGGCTAACAAAGCCACAGCGGCATATACAGCACAATACACACACACACACACACACACACACACACACACACCCCCTGAAGAACGACTTTCAGCATCAGTGCGACATTCCTGGATTACATTAATATGTATTGTCTTGTTTGTATGGCTTTCCATGACGTGCTTCTTCGAAAGCTTTCAGAGGAATTAAGCAGGCAATGCTCTTGTGTTTTCTGCTCACTGAAATAAAGCCCATCGGCAGAAGACTACAAAGTCTGGTTCTGGCGTTATCGTTGTGATGCTGCGGCCTTGAAAGTGTCGTCTGCTTTTGAGAGCCCATGCGTCTGGAGGATGGTTATTATGTCTCGCGGCTCGAGTCAGCTGCTGAGCAGATATGCTTTCATGAGGCGTGCTGAGCCAAAGGCCTACAGCCACGAGGCAAAGCTTAGTCATTGCAACAACAACAAACATATATCACCTCATGAGGTGAGTTCATATTAACATATACACGTCTATCTCGATATGTTAGCGACAGAAACGGTTGCCCGGTAATCAGGACGACTACCTGTGCAGACCATTACAAACAGCGTGCCTGGTTCGATGGTCTGTCCAAGCCCTCTGATTGGTTGTCACTTGGTTTACATTGACATTAGCTCATATTGAGATGTTGGTCTGTGTGTAATGAAAGAGGCTGCTGACCCTGTCACCGAGGTGACGTAGGAACCATTACAAACATTTGTTTTATTAACATTTCTGCTCGCTCTCTTCTCCCAATTGGCTGTCATTGGTCTCTGGGAAGCCAGAAGAACACGTTTCTCATTGCGTACACCAGCCTGGGGAAGTTAGTCGGAAGCAGTCAGGTTACCGGGAAGTAATTAGCCTAAGTAAGTGTTTTTATGTAGAACTATGATCAAACAAACATGATCAGAACTGTAGAATACATTAGCTGTTGAATGTACTTCGCTGGATGACTATAAAGTAGAATTTGCCCCAATTCCCGCCGGGTTGGTGCCTAACGACACGTGACCGGTGAGGTAAACTGGGAGGTTTCACAACGCTGCGCTGCACCCACCGACCCTCGTCACAAACACTTCCACAACAACCTGAGCAGCATTGTTGTAAAAAAGGAGGGTGTTGCTAAATGGGTTGCATCAATACCCTTTTCAAATGATGACAGCTACCATATTGAAAGTCCGAGCACTACAAAAACAAACGGGCCGGATAGGAGCACAAATGCCACTTGGCGGGATTTAATCTAATCTTCCATAATCCAGAATGGCTCAAAGAAGACTGGCTCGCGAACACAGCGTTCTGTATTCCCTCCAGCAGGTGAAAACCAGATGTTGAACTTGAGCATTCCTGACACTCACCTAGCCAGTGGCTCCTTTCTTTAAAAAGGTCAGAGATCAACATTACAGCTGATCTGCAGAGAGCATTTAACAACAACTTTTAATCACTCGCTGACGTCATTCTCCAAACTCTCTTTCATACCAAGAATGTCGTCATTCTCGTTTTGCGAGTGATGTTCCGTCTTAAATATTCAGGAGGATTTCTCTTTGCATGTCTGAGCAAAACAATGATGACACATGGTGAATCAGCAGCTCAGACGAGGCAGAAAATCCTCTTAAGTAACTCTCTGCTTCCGCTCAGCAGTGGAGGTCGAGGTCATGTCACCTGCCCCCCCCGTCCCCCTCCATCAATGAGACATAGGTGGAAGCAGGGGAAAAGGGCAGATGGGAGGGGTAAAGGGAAAAACGGGAGGTAAAGGATGGCTGGTGGCGGAGGTGAAAGCCGTCATTTGCTTAGAAGAAGAATGGAAAAGTCGGCGTTCTGACCGGATCATTTACACAAACCAGCCCGTAGGCTGGCAGCAAAGGGGGCCTTGTTCCCCATACGGTATGCAACCAGCATGCAATGGGGGATGGGGGGGCGGGGGGGCAGAGAAGCAGAGTCCTTCAGGACCCTAATCACAAGGCTTCATGCTCAGCAATGCACGTTTGCATAACTTCCTGCCGCAGAACGCTGGACAGCCACAGTAACATTCCTCAACGGGACTGTACACGTCAGAGAGCTATTTTAGGTATGTGGCCAAACAAGTTCCCAACAAAAAAATGAAGGACGGGAGGAAAAAAATAAATCCATCCCAAGTACAGAGTCACATAGAGAGCCTTATTTTCAATCAGCACTGGTGCTGAAGACTGTGACGGAAAGGGAGGAGGGCGGTTGCATATGGGGCTGGCTACTCCAACAGGAGAACAAATGAAGGAAAAAACAACGAGAAATCAGGAAGACGGCCATGCTAAGAGTCCTCTGCTGCAGCGCCGGTGGGACAAAAGAACGCTTGTTTGGTTTGGACAGTGAAACACTGAGAAAAACAGGAATACAATTTTAATTGCAAATGTGAACAAAGCGGAGACAGGCAACAAACTGTGACAAATAAGCATTCTGAAGTAGTACGAGTGTGACACTGTATGTATGCGTGTGTGTGTGTGTGTGCCAAGTTTGCATCCCAGCATTTGCATCAGCAACAGGCCTGGATATTGGTGTAGCAGTATCTAAACAAAACCCAGTCGACTTGCCTATAAGCAACAATAACGCTCTGCACGCAGAAATTAAACTGTTCCAAGAACAGGTACATTTCCGTCTGCTTTCCAGAAAAACAGAACTAAAAGAAAAGCCATTGCTAAAAAAAAATATGGAACACAAAAGCAAAAAAGAAAACGTTGCAGTAGTGTAGATAAAAAGAGGTCTACACTATGGGTATGAATATTAAACCTATGTGGATCTAGACTTCGGTCCCAGGATTTCCTCCTAATTGACAATGATAATGAAATCAAAATGAATTCCCTACGACCTGCTACACCTATTAGAAACAGAGCAGAACCGTGCATAGAAGTCACTAAAGTGCAAGAAGCATTGTGTGTTAGCAGTCTAGAGAATACGTTTTAATACGTGGCAGTCTTTTAGGGGAAAAATAAACATTGCCTCCATGTTATTTCTGGGGACTATGCTTCAGCAAGAGGGCGACACATCCCTGGGAATACCAAATAATAACACAAATTTAAAAAAAAAGAAACATCTCATCACCCGAAAAATGAAATGTGGTAATTATAAAAAAGCACGAGCCAGTGGTTGACATTACATATGGCAATTATTTCTTAAAGCTTTAAGGGAGCGAAATCCACACACAAGCACTTTTCCAGACATTAACGTCTGAGTTAAAGTTTCCATGGGAGCCTCGGCCACATCATCCCTTTCTGCATGCCAGCACCAGGCATGTGGACTGGCCTCACTTCCCTTTCTGCCACCTCTTTAAGACAATTTGGTGTTGCCACGTGTGAGCGATTGTTGCGACAGCCCGTCGGTTGGCCATGCAAATAGAGGCAGTGCCCATGTTAAGCCCAAAGTGATCATACAAACCAGCGAGGCCATTCAAAGTGGGACATCGTTTATGTAGTCGCTTTGTGTGGAAGTACACTGGAATACGTAGCCAGCTGATTTGGCTTGAATCAACACGGTATCACTGAGGGACTCAAGTTTGTTTTGGATTCAAACCAACTTCTCGGTCCAAACTCGTGCTGTGCAATAACATCTAGTGACAGAAAAGCCCCTTTTACCTAGAAGGACGGCGCATCCGACAGCTCTGTCGGATAAATGGCAGTGACAGTGAAGCCAGGGGTGGCAGAACAGGGGCGTTCCATTTCCTCATGAGGTCCCAGTGAGCGAGAATCACTGTCACAAAGGCTTTCATGTCAAAATGCAGTCGAGTTATTCCAACAGTGGCGCGCGCGCTCACGTGTTCCACTGACTGAGCGCCGGATTCTCCAGCGAAACTCAGCTGTGCTGTCCGGGATGTCTGACCTCGCCCCAACAAATAACAGTCTTATTAAAATGTCTACTCGCCCCATTCCGACCATCTTCACTGGAGAGGGGGGTGGGGGGGCGAGGAGTCCGAGCGAGGAGCTCTAAGTGGGGCAAACTAACCCGGGGCTGCAGCCCTTCACAAATGAGATGACAGAAAAGCAGGAGGCTGCAGAGTTCAAGGGGTGAATTGGTGGAAATCAAACGGCGACAACCGGATACAATACTCAAGGACATTATTTAATCTAAGTGAGTAGGAAGTAGGAGTAGCAATACCACCATTGTCCATCTGTGCGACATCCATTTGCAGATTTGAAATCAATTTCTCCTGGGAGCTGCATTACAATCTGACGATAACCAAGCTGGACATCACTAATCACAATAGGATTAGATTCATGCTGAGAGTTTTAATAAAGTAATCAGGAAATATGATGTACACTCGACAAAACGAGGCAGAAACAGGAAACAACCTGAAAACAATGCCGGCCTACAATCTAATAGCATGCTTTAAACATGTACTGGCAAGTACAGCCAAGTTACACGCATATTAACATTAATCTGGGGGTTACTATGTCATGCAAAAGTGCTCCCTGTTCAAAGCCGTGCCGATCTGTCTCCAAGTTGTTAACCAAGCACATACTGCAGCTTCATTATCAGTGCTGACGCCACCTTCCAGGTGAGGTTTGTCCGGTAAGAGGCAAAGGTCAGTAGGACGCCGACGAGCCCTCGACATCGGCACGACAAAGGCCCGGCTGTACTCTGACCGGACCACAGCGCACCGACTGTGTAAAGCAGTTGGGAGGGACGCCAGTAAAACCCCTTCTACAAATCACTCATGGCTCCGATTTAGGCAGCTGTGACCGAGCGCGTCCCCTCGGCCCGTTAAAAGGCGGTTTGATTTTACGGTCGGCATTTGTACACACTGGTTTTGCTATATCGTGAGTTCCCCATGAATGTCTGGACTGGGAATTGGGCTGGATCTGGCTTGAAGTGGAAGCTCCACACTAGCAATATCTATTCATTCTAGGTCCTTGGCCACACAGCACCATTATTTCGTAATAGTGACAGAGGTGGTGATAAGCATCTCCGTCAATAAATCTAATTTGAGTAGCTAATGCTGGCAGGCGTTAACCTACAAATGGGATTTTAACTCATTTATTATATCATTATTCAATAAAGCATTTAGACTGATCTAACCTCAAACGCATAAGTGAATTAGCACAAAGCTAATTTTGCATCACAGAATCCTGCCAACAGCTGCCACTTGAAGTGTAACACTTTACTGTTCATCTTATTCAACTGATAAAATGACTTCAGAATAAGAGCGTCGGCCCTGGTAAATACATGCAACATTCACATGGTGAACGTCAGGCTTCAAATATGTTTCTTTAGCCTTGCGGTTTCCCGTAATTACTCTTATTAGAGATTTAAAGTCCAAACGGCAGATGAAAGAGGGATCAAAACACGGAGGCGCCAATGCACCCTAAGTGTGAAAGTAGCAATGAAGCAGGCAAAGCTTTTGCAAAACAAGTTCCAACAGATCAACGCAACTATTTCATACACTAAATGGTTACAGACTCGACACTTGCGGGACAAAAAAAAACAACGCAATTTATCTCCCATATTTAAAGAAACTGGCCAACACATTTTCCAGCATGTTAATTTATGGAAAATCAAACCACGGTGAGAACATTGAAACCAGACGTTTGATCTAAGTTTTTGATGCCAGATGTCGCCGAAAGAAAAACACTCATAGACAATTTTTCACCCCTTAATGTCAGTGAGCTTTCGCGTCACGATGTCAGGAATTCTGTCTCTTCAGATCGGGCCGCCCAGAGCACAATCGCTGGGGAGGGGGCAGAGCATCCAGATAACACGCTCCTCTCTCCAGGCAGGATTTATTTAAAGGGCGCAGATAAGGGCGACGGGGCTTGAACAACGCGCTCAATAGGCCAGCCCAGAGCCGGGCGCAGGCCAAGTGTCACCATCACAGCACACAGACCAGGCCCTCCGTTGGAAAAATGTTCAAGTCCAACAGTGCAATACTTCAGAGGGAGAGCCAAAAGGCAGCTCGCACTCAGGTACAGAAGTGCAGCCAGTAAAAGGCTGGCATTGTGAATTCTGGTGGAACCTATTACTCACAGCCCAGCGTGTTGGCTGCTTTATGAGTTTAAACGTCTTGATTCACGGCGTTCAGAAACATGAGTCTTCAGTTCACATAATTTTGGTTTATGGGTAGAGGGAAGAGCCCACACCCTGCTACCTCAGCGCTGCCGGCCTGGTCTCAACTCCCTCCAGACGTGCACAGCGGCTGTGGGACACACAGGGAACTCAAAAGACAAGAGGTTATTTGATTAGCACGGAATTTTATTAAGCTGTGGGTGGAGTTGCACGGTGGCAGAGAGAGCCTCAGCAAAAGGCCCCCATTCATTGATCAAGCAAGATTGCAGAAAAGGGGGGGGGGGGGGGGTAGAAACAACACCCTTGTCTGTTCTGCTGCCAGCAGGAACAGTCCGCATAGCTTTCAGCCACTGAATATGCAGCGCGTGCGCACTTTCAGGTGAGTTTAATTGCCTCGTTCAGCAACAGGATGGGAGGTCAAAGGGAGCGAGCGAGCTTTTCTTTTCAATAGACAGCAATCTACTGCAGCCTTTACACAAACACTCGAGTTGCACATGAGGGTGGGGTTTTAGGACAAGCCCCCCTTTCCAAAAAAGAAAACACCGCAAGCTTGATTTTCCTCTGCTCGGTAAGTCAGTCTGCCTTCTATAATCACACAATCAAGATACAGGGATCGTTAATCAAAGAGAATGACCTGAGGTGGACAACACCTGAATGAGTAACGATGACGATCTTATATTGTACCCGAGGAAAAACCTCAGTCTGCCGCAAAACAGGAAAACGTAAATGTTTCCACACACCTAACATCTGGGTGTGACTCCTCTAATGAGTCAAGAGAGTCAGATCCGTGAGAAAGGACTGCGTGCCGATGTCACCCAAGCTGAAAGGATCCCGATATCAACAAACACTTAGCTCTGGCACCTATTTGCTGTATGTAATCAGGAGAAGGAAAAAGAAAGCAGCATGTTGCTTTAGGGTTTAGCACGTGGCAGCAGACGCCTCCTCTCCTCAGACTGCAGTCTGACTGTTGATGACAGTCAGGCCGGAGGCATGAGGCAGCCGGGACGGACCTCCAGCCGGGACAGGTGTAGTGGGGCAGCTGGGGGCCTGCTGGGGTGGGGGGGGCTGCAGGTTACAACAGGCTCGCAGGCAGCCGATCACTTCAAATGAAGCTGAGATAAGTAAATCTATGCGAAGCAGCACACCTCACCACCGACTTCCGTGTGAACTAACCGGGAAACAAATACCCCGGTGACATCATAGAGCATTTAACGGGCCGTAGTGGGCGGCGATGAAGTTGATCTAATGAATGGCATAACCGGTTTGAAATGACCACAAGCCGCCTGGCAAAGCGTGTCTGAATTGTGGAGGAACAGGAACACGGCTGCCATCTGTCACTCAAGTTCAGATACCTTTGTGTCTTCATTAGTTATTGAAGCTGGTGTGATAGATCACGTTACTGAATGCGTGTCGCCGTTAAACAACGATCCAACTGCAAGGAAATAGTTTCAGTTGGGCTGCAGTGTTATGACTGTTGGATGACATTTTGTTCATGGTTTCCTTACTACACATATAACAGTTCTGTAGGTTACAGTTCTTACATATCACACACGTACACACAGGCGTTTGGTAGCGTTCAACCGAGGCGTATAACCACATTCCGTCAGTGACAACTCAGACGACCTGTTGGGTCTCGGAAGAAAGAACTGCTCCAAGGAGTAGACAGACCCCGAACGGTCGTCTCGCTTAGCCGCCTAGCCAGCTAGCGAGTTACAAACTTACCAGAAGACAATCCGTGTTCACTTCGGACTTCGGGTTCTTCAACATGGCATCGATCTTTTCAAACCGAGCCGCCATGCTTTCCCCGGCGGACATGTTTGCTGTTAAAGTCGGCCCACGGCGTTGAGCCGCGGACAAAAACAGCTCACTGGCGAGGCAGACGGCTGGCTAGCTAGCCTTAGCAGCCAGCAGTAGCTAGCTAGCTAGCCAAATGTTCCTTTCTTAGCGTGAACCGCGCGCGCCGCACTTTTAAAGAAAATACATCGTTCTCCTCGAGCTTTCACAGACGATGAAACGTTTAAGATTGCGCTGAATGTACAAAAGCCACATTCTCGGAGTCCAAAGAGAGTTTTTTTTTGTTTTATTCCAGTGTGAAGTGGCAGACAACTTCAGTGGCAAAAGATAAATGCGGCGACAGATTAGTCAGCCTCCGCAGGATGCCGCTGAGGATAAGGGCTTAAAATGCGGGTGCATCCGAACAAAAGGCAATTCAAAGTTAGGCCGTTTTGCCAATTAGAGAAAAAAAAAAGCAAAGTTTGCGGGAGGGTTTGGTCCAGGCCCCGGTCCCGTATTTCCGTCTGGGGCCCTTGCAGAAAAAAAAAACGACAATAGATTCTGACAGCTCAAAAGTAGAAGTGGTGGGAAAAAAACTTCTGCTTCTTCCAAATTTCGATGAGCTTAAAACACGGTCTCGTTTCAACGTCTAACGGCGGTCCTCCCGCGGCATCCCGCGCGTTGTCACAGGCTCTCGACCGTTGCCCGCCCGCGGTGCTCCGTCTCCCGGTTAGAAGGCATACCCGTCAACTTTTAAACGTGCGCTGGTTCGGTAAAGAGAAAAAACAGCGGACGGTGCCCGATTTTCTCCCACAGACCGACCAACATGTCCGCCTTCCTGTTCAAACACCCCGGAGAAGCAACTTCAAAATGTCAAGCACTGCGCATGCGCAGTCGCAGAGTTCACGAACCGCTGGTGGCAACATGTTGCTGCTAACGAGCGTCACGATGTAATTTGGGGACTAGTTACTACATCGCCTGCCGTCAGGGCGGTAAGAGCAATATACTGTGGTTCATTTGTATTTGTTTTAGAGCAAGTTTAATGACCAATTATATTTGCCTAATCATCTATATTATTATTTTCTATAGTGCGACTGAAATGATCCTGCTGTGTGGTTATGAGCCATAAATAACATTCTATTGTACTCGGTAATGTGAAGCATAGAGATACCCGTGGTTCTGTTGTTTTTTAAATGACATTTTTGTTTGAATCAATTATATGCCATTGTAATTGTGGGCTAGATGTGCTCTTGTTCCTGGATCATTATTAAAAATGGTTAGATATTATGAAAATGTCATGCAGAGTACCTCTGCTCTGGGGGGTTGGGAGCCATAGATAAATTACCAAAGCCTGGGAGACTTGCCTTCTAGAATACTGGGTGTAGATGTAGATGGTTTGGGGATACCACCAGCTTCCATTGGGTCACTGTAACAGTTATTTTTGTAAAGGTCACCCAACATAGTCTCATCATCTTTTCTGGCTTATACTTCAGTGATTTAAATGTTTGAGCTTTAATTAATATAGTTCAATTTGGCATTTAGTTCTCAGAGTGAAAACAGTGACAAACAGGAAATGCTTGTAGGGGCCGGCTGTTAGTTGCTCCCTGAATAGGAACGGTGACTTTTTTGACTACAAAAAAAGGTTAAAGTTTGATCTGTCTATCCAACCACCTGCCTGTCTAGCTTCATGTTCTCTTTTACTTTAATTTATTTCTTTTCAGCAGCTGTCCTCACCTCCTCTCCTCTGTGTGTGTGTGTGTGTGTGTGTGTGTGTGTGTGTGTGTGTGTGTGTGTGTGTGTGTGTGTGTGTGTGTGTGTGTGTGTGTGTGTGTGTGTGTGTGTGTGTGTGTTTGTAATCCGCATCTCACCCAACAGAGGGCGCTGTTGTACAATATTTATGGTGAAAACTCTCCAGCGTTCAGAAACATGCGCGTTTCCTGAAAATTTTGTCATGTGCTCTTCGGAAAAAGCCCACAATGTATTTAAACACATTTAGCTCAAGCTAAGGTGAACTCTTTTTCTTAAAAATGGTGACCTTAAAGAAAGAGCTCAGTACACCAGTTCTGTAGTTCTGCCAGCAGAGGAGGATATTTTAAACCTTGAAACCAGAAGTGTGAAAAAATACTGTACAGGTAAATTAATACATGTATACAAACATCTATTTTTGCTGTTTCAGAGGTCAGATGTACGTTTATGGGTGGCCAAATATACTCCAATTCTATGTTGTATGTGTCGCATGTTTGGTTCGTATATTTATTCATTGTGTGTTTATTGTATTTGTTTGTTCAGCAAACATATTAATCCAGACATCGTGCTGTCGCGTGACACTTTCTAAACTTAAACCGCTTTAACCGGCCGCTTCTGGTCAAGTTTGTGACGTTGTTCCCTTTCGTGTGCAACTCTCGCGCTTGTCCGTCCTCCCACTCTCTTTTTTTTAAACAACAAGCCGGGCTGAACTTATCCTCGGCTGAACCGCAGCGAACGGCGCGCGGACGGTCACGCCGTGACGTCACCCGGCGGCGGCGGCGGCTCCCTCGCTGCGCAGATCAGCTGTGAGCAGAGCGAAACGTGTCGGCCTCGCTGAGCGCGTCGCGGAAAGCTCGACATTCAAAAAAAAACCCCTTTGCGGGCCCGACTCGCTACGTGGCCGCGGCGGCGTCAACGCGTCTCCGCGCGGATACAGGTAGGCACGCTCCGCAGGTACTGGTTTTTACACCCGCGCGGCACGTCGGCGTGCCCGGTGATCGGGACACGGGATCGGGCCGGTGATGGTCGTGCTGGAGCCTGCGTGAGGTCGGGGGCGGGGGGGGCTGCTGCTGCTGCTGCTTAATGTCGGTTTTCCTAGTGGGTTTCTCACAAGTGTCACAGCTAAAGAGATGAAACAACTGCAGTTAAAGTACTCTAGAAGGAGGGGACATTAAATCTAATCATAAGCAAATTCAGTTTCCATGTTTTCAATTACTGCGTGAGTGAGCCTATATATATATATATATTTTTTTTTTCTTGCTTTCTTCACTAGTCGCTCCATCATGTGCCTACACGTCGTTGCTGTCAGCCAGAGGTAGATTTAATAGCCCAATTAGTGGGTTGTTGTCAGTAATTAACGTCTCGCAGTGTAATATGAGTGTCAGTTTGGGGCTCATCTTCGGGCCAACCTGTAGCATGAAGGACCTGTGGAACTTACACATCATTCATCAAAAGGATTGTTGATGTCTGCAGCCTTTTTTTTAGAATTGCATATTTTAGCTCTGCCTTGAAAAGCTCACTCCTGCCCTCGTGATTGTTCGTCCTGCCTTGCACGGAACAAAGGCCCCTAATTTAGACGTTTGTCTCTTGGAAACTGTCACGGCTGCCCCCGGAGGCTCCGTGTTGAAACAGGCTGCAGCACTTTAGATATAGAGCCACATAGCCGGGGCCCGGGAGACCTTTCTGGTGGTTTGTCGCGGCAGTTACATGGCAAACCAGTCCATCTTGACTGCATCTAATCTGACATTCCATGTTTCACGTCCCAAAGGTTGCATTCCTCCCGTCTCCCCTCCCGCGCCTCTACTTTCCAAATGCCGCTGGAGTTAATGACAATAACATGCGCATTACATGATCCTGCGGACTGGAGCGGTTCGTTTTTAAAAGCCGCGGCAGCCTCACTGGTAATAAAGGAACCGTTATGTCACTTTTCATGTCGAGGCCCCACTTGTGAAAACACAAAACCTGGTCCGGGTGGAACAAACTCCACGTTATTGAGCTTTAAAATATTTCCATTGACTGCAACAAAAATATCTAAAAGCCTGACTGTTGGCGATTTATGATATGTCCTCTCCCGCTTCACGCGTCCTCTTTTGAACTGAGCCAATTTGCGTCCGGGTGCGAGCTCCGTGCCAGGAGTGTGGATTTGGAAATCGGCTGGGTGGCCTGAGAGCACGTGCAGCAGCCCTGTCGGAGAGAGAGAGAGAGAGAGAGAGGAAGGCCTGGAGGGGACAGGAGGGGACAGGAGGGGGCCCGGAACGCTGACCATCTGGCCTTTGGGGACGGGGGACGGGGGGGCGTTTCCTCCCTGGCTGCCTTTGTTCCAGTGGAACAATTGGGAGTTAATCTGGGAGGAGATAAGTAAGGCCCCCGTGACACCCCTCCTGCGGTCGGACAGGTTTCTCTCTTTAGCCTTGAAGGAGACATCTCATTCCCCCGTCGCTTTGTTAAGCCTTCGGTTGGCGGCGGGTGTTGTCTCTGTGTGGTCGAGGCATTTAACCTTTTTAGTTCTCGAAGGTGGAACATTGGCCTGGGGCAGTTAGGCGACACATTTGGACGTAAATTCTAAAACCCAAATGTTTTGCTGAAATGTATTATTTGCCGCGTCACAGGAGGTTTGTTGTAAATTGGTACTATTGAGGGCGGCACACTTCAAGCATAATGCCATTAATGAGAAATAATCGCACGCAGGTGAAAGCAGGTTTTTAGCAGCTTGAGATGTCTAACCAAAAAATCGGGTAATGATCACTGCTCAGCCCTCAAAAGATGTCCTCTTTAAAATGTATAATTCCTCCATTGAGAGCAGGCTGTTTTGTCAACCTTTCATCCCATTATTAATGCATCCCGTCTCTATTTTTTGCCAAAGTATCATTAACAGTTGTTCCATTGTGCGGAAGACCAGATGCGAGGCAGGGAGGCCTTTTTGCAAAAAAACTCATTTCTCTCAAGCTCCATCAAGCTGTAGAGAGATGATTATTTCTCATCCATTTTGTACATAAGGCAGTTGTTACCAGGGTAACGGATTGATTTATTTTATATTCTTCATTTCAAGCTCACCTGGACCTCATTTTGTTGCCGTTTCTACCTTGAGCTTGCTCAGCCGGCCCTGTGCGTTTGCTGTGTGTGATAGATCACTGTGAGCTGTATTGTGCGTCGTCTACAACAATACTTGACAATTGATTACCAACACAGAGGTTTCAGGTTCTTCGGTGGCTTCAACCGGAGACATTTTCGGATATTGATTTGTGAGGCAAAATCTCTCGCGCGGAACGGCGTCACGGATCATTCACAATACCGAGTAATGAGATCACACCAACACTGCTGGGACCAATCGGCAATAGAGGCAGATGCGTCTCTTGATCCCTTCAGAGGTGGGTCTTCGTGATCGTGGTCGTCTCTGATCCGGAGTGCAGATGGTACTAAGGGACTAAATCCCAACTAGAGAGATCAGTGCTGTTGAGGCACACTCTTTGACCGCGATTTGACGGGACTCCGAAAACAGGTGCTCCCTTAGATTAACCCTCGTTATCCAAATACTGCCGAGGCGGCGGTCAGCACCAAATCAAACTGCTCGCCACTCGTTATCAAAGTAAAAGTATTCACTGTAAAAAAAACTGCTGTGAGTGTTGTACTATGAAATATATTCATATATAATTATGTTATTCAAATCCGAAAACCGTCATGATCCCTTTGTGAAGCTAATTCTGCGTTATGTTTTATGGAATCATCGGATATTTTTTGTGTAATATAATACGAAGCTGCAAAGTAACTAGTAGCTCTTAATGAGCGCACTGGAGTAAGAAACTCCATTATATATTTAAATGAAAAGTAAGCGAGTAGAAGTATAAATCGGGGGGAAATAAAGTACCTCAAAATTCAATATAAATTTTCCTATCTGGTGGCTCAGGCTTTGATTGATTTGAATAACTGAGAAATAAAAGAGCACCTGGGTGCTGATCTGCAGAGCCCAACGTGTTCCTCCTGGATGCAAGTAAACTTTCAACTTGTCCTGGCTTGTTTTTCTTTTTTTATTCAGGGTCAAGAATGCCAAGAACACAGTGTGCACTAGTAAAATGTCTGAGCACTCGCAGGCTGTATTGCTGGTGTCAGGCTTGCGTGTGTGTTTTGTGTTTCTTTC